TTAAAGTTTTTCTTCATTATCCATTCAAGCCGTCTCCAAGCATTATTAGTTTATGGACTCGTTTTCCTGACCTGCAGTTGTATCCTTAGTGTTGAGAAATATTTATAGAGTTTGACAAGAAGGCACTAGAAGTCGATTACGAGAAGGCATTGCTGAAGTCAGCTGCTAATCAGGGCCCGAAATCTACCATGTCTCAGCGAATGAGGATAGACCAAGGTTCGAAGTAGCAGGCAGCCTCCGAGGACCACACTGCCCAAAACTGGCAGATCTTGTCAGGAATTACTGGATTGTGATTTCAAGAAAACCCGACAAGAATTACAAGAGATGAAACAAGCACTGTATTGTACTAAGCAATGTAGATGTTGGTGGGATTGACAAGTTAAGCACGATGCTGTCTGAGCAAAGTGTTCTATTTCTTGAGCATGCGATGCTTCAAGTACCTGCAAGTATTATACAGCTCCCAAATCTCAACATTTTTGCTCGGGAAAAGGGCTGGATCAAAATGTAAACATTTCAACATTCACTAGAAGCTGACAGGATTCCTCCGCATTAATGTTAGGGTCACAGAAACTGTAATGTGACGAGTACAGTCACATGAACTGTGATGTGACGAGTCCTGTTACTCCCAAGAGATGCTTATGCACCTGATATATATTTATACAGATGTTTATATATATTTGGAGCAAGTGGTCGGCCAGACTGTTAGTTTTAGCTACATAATATCCTACTATGTCCTATCCACAGCGGTAATCGAACCCTGGACTTCAGCGATGTTATCCCATAAACTTGCAGTTCCCCCACCGGGAGACGTAGGCAAGATAATAAGTGTATATACATAAAACAAACATTACAATAAAACAAAAATTATATAACTGTCTTCCGCTATCAGCCCTAGTTGTCAACACTAAGTCATAACGGATAATGTCTGTAGTCATAGCACATTGGGGATATTCCATTTATCAGACAAAATCTAGACGCTGATTTCACATTAATTAGTAGCTATTGAAAATCAGTTAAGGATTAGGAGTCGAGTGCTTGAACCCACAAAATCTCAATTCTTTCACTGTCTGTAGTCAGTTATACTTAATATATAACCTTAAAGTAGAAATAAAAAATCACCCTAAAAATTGTACAAGGTAAAACTCCCACCCTTTTAGTCACAAAATGTTAAACAGAACTAAAAAACCTACCTTAATAGTTCTTAAAGTACCACCCTCCACCCTTTTATTTACAAAATGTTAAACAGAACTAAAAACCTACCTTAATAGTTCTTAAACTACCACCCTCCACCCTTTTATTTACAAACTGTTAAACAGAACTAAAAAACTTACCTTAATAGTTCTTAAACTCCCACCCTCCACCCTTTTATTTACAAAATGTTAAACAGAACTAAAAAACCTACCTTAATAGTTCTTAAACTACCACCCTCCACCCTTTTATTTACAAAATGTTAAACAGAACTAAAAAACCTACCTTAATAGTTCTTAAACTACCACCCTCCACCCTTTTATTTACAAAATGTTAAACAGAACTAAAAAACCTACCTTAATAGTTCTTAAACTACCACCCTCCATCCTTTCTCTTGAAAATTTGTTCAAAGATAACCCGTGCGAACTGAGACAAGCCCAACTACCTAAAGTTAGTCTTTCCGACCCGCTATACTGAACACAAATCTAGAAACTATTTTTCAAGTTAGTTACTTATATCCATGAATAACTAGCGACCTCTAAATTCACCACAAGGTAGTTTCTATAATCGAAAATTTACTTTTAAAAATAATTTCATAATTATTATACAAATTATACAACATTTATTACATGCCAGTCTTTACAACCATTAACTTTGGATTGATTTATGGATAATTGAACCTCATTCATAAAAGAATTACTAGTGTTACAAACTGTTAAAAAAAAGTATTCTTAATTAATAGATAATAATACCTTTTAACAATATAGACCGAACAATACTATTAGGGGGTAGGTAGATCAAGGATGGGAAAATCAAATTCCTTTTAATTGTTAAAAATAGTCAACTGTACTCTGTCTTCTACAAAATTAATGTCTATGTAATGTGCAAACATAGGGTGGTCTATGCCTACTGTCAGAATATTTTTGCCTTTTTAATTCTATTTTAAGGTTGTATATAAATATTAAGGGTAACTGTCTTCCCACAACTGGCTGCAAACAGTGAAAAGCAGTAGGAGTTGAGACGTTGTGGGTTCAAGCACTCGACTCCTAACCCTAAACTGTTTTCCCTCAGTTGTTGGCTAGTTTGACATCGACGTCTGGATCTTGTCTGATAGATGGAATAGCCCCAACGTGTTTGGGTGCTATGGCAACAGAAATTATCCACTATGACTTAATGATGATAATAATGAGCGGTGATGGAAAAATTATTTTAATTTTCGAGTCCCCTTGTAATGTTTTTGATACAAATATAAATAATGATAATTCACGCTTTCTTTTCCGACATGTTTTCGTTATTACCCCCCCCCCCTTCAATTGACCTTTTTGTTTGAGGGGTAACGACGAGAGCCGTCCATAATACTAAAGTGAAAGCAACTATTACACGCCACCTACGGTCAATTCTTTAACTACTCTATACCATCGAACGATAGGATTGACCATCACATAATAACACCTCCACGACCGAAAGGACGAGCATATTTGGTGACAAGATTCGAACTCGTGTTCCTCAAAGTGCGAGTCGAGTGCCCTAACCACCAGATCAATCAGTGGTTCAACAGCAAGAAATAAACTCCAGTTAAAATGTTATATTTTTGAAAGTTAATCAATAACTCTACCCTTAAATCTGCCATGGATTATTTCATGGAATAACTCCAGAGATCCAATAATCCATAGACGTACGATAAAGTAGAATATGTGTACCTTTAAACTACTTTTAAAATTCTTTAGTCTTCAGTTGTCTTTAAACAAATTGATATAAAAAATCATAAATATATTTAATTCAAACTAAGATGGATTTACACATACATCGAAAAATCAAGTTTCTTTATTATTCAGTTTTGGTTTCGGTTCTGAATGGTTTGAAAAGGGTTCCAGAAATGTAAAAAATACGTTGTATAATTACAGATATACGTAGGAAAAGTTTGTTTGTTTTTTTAAGTTAAACACAAAGCTACACAATGGGCTATCTGTGTTCTGCCCACCACGGGTATCGAAACCCGGCTTCTAGCGTTGTAAGTACGAAGACATATCGCTGTGCTACTGGGGGGGGGGGACGTAGTAAAAATCTAGATTTGTATCTTTAAAAGATCCAACAACACTGAAAATTCAAGGGATGTTATTAGATATATTCAATTAAAATAAATATATATATCCGAAAATAGTTTATATTCAATCCAATAAGAGGAAATAAAAATAATTATTAGCGTTGCTTCTGTAATAGTTTATATGCGATCCGATAAGAGGAAATAAAAAATAATTATTAGCGTTGCTTCTGTAATAGTTTATATTCGATCCAATAAGAGGTAATAAAAAATAATTATTAGCGTTGCTTCTGTATAGTTTATATTCGATCCAATGAGAGGTAATAAAAAATAATTATTAGCGTTGCTTCTGTAATAGTTTATATTCGATCCAATAAGATGTAATAAAAAAATAATTATTAGCGTTGCTTCTGTAATAGTTTATATTCGATCCGATAAGAGGTAATTAAATAATTATTAGTATTGCTTCTGTAATACTTAAACAAGTGTGATCAATTCTTTAAATAAACAAACACCAAAATGATTCCTACAAAAAACTCAAGAGATTTTGGCTCAATCAATTTAAAACTGAGATCGACTTTCTACTCCATTATAACTACTAGAACCTCCTTCAAACTATCATATTTAGTTGTTATTTTAATGTGTAATTATTTATACATCTATTAATTTAGTAATAGTAATCTATTCAATAATGTTTTAATTTTACAGTCATTCCATTTCAACTGTTATATTGATTCATAGATTTGAAGTTAGTGATGAGATAATGAAAACACTCGATACCAGTAGACTAACACTCAATAAAGCCAGTCGTTAAAAATACTAAACATTTATTTTTTATTACAAGTTACAGCTTTTATAATAAGGAAAAATATTTCTAAAACAGGTACGATGTTTCGATCACTCTTAAATACACAGTGATCGCACCAGTGATCGAACCGTTGTACCTGTTTAAAAAAAAAAAATATTCCTTACTCTAAAAGCTGTAACTTGTAATAAAATAATATTTATAATCAGTAAGTAAACTCGAAACAAAAATGGTCCTACACATAAACAGTCCCTCAAATACCCAAGTTTCACAGTAAAACTTTTTAAAAATAATTATTAAACATGTTTGTTTATTTAAACGTAAAACTACACAATACGCTAGCTGTGCTCTGTCACCACGGGGAATCGAACCCTGGATGTTAGCGTTGTAAGTCCTGGTACCCCTCCCCCCCTGCGACGTTGATAAGAACCATGACTAAAGTTATTCGTATGACCCGGTACGTAGCCAGCTAACAAGGACACGTGTTAGAAACCCCCTTGGACTTCACTTTTTATTAAAACAGTTACAATGAACTTTCCATAGTTTGGCTGTTGACTGTATGTTGCAATGATTGTATTATATTGTTAGAAGTCAAAGTTTGACATCTTGAACTTGTGAGCAGGATTATTTAATCGCATTCTCCAAATATATAGCTTTATAACGATTCTTGGTCTTGTCGTTTCATCCTCGTGTCCACAGAAATCTAAAAAAATGTAAAAATGTAAGGTTGAGATGTACTCACTCATCTCAAATAACTGAACTGTACAATCTAAAAAAATGTAAAAATGTAAGGTTGAGATATACTCACTCATCTCAAATAACTGAACTGTACAATCTAAAAAAATGTAAAAATGTAAGGTTGG